ATGAAGTGACTCGCACAATGGAAGAATTGTTTGTAGAAATTGTCAAAAATTGGAGAGTAGCTCTTTCAGCTGCCTTAAATATATCCGAAGGTATCTATTCTTAAATTCTATACAACAAATTCCATAACATAATTGCTTAAAACTCTGATTTATTATAGATGACGAGCGTACAAAGTTTGTAGAAGATGCAGTTGTTGAAGTGCAGAAAGCAAAACGTGTTCTGTGTGCATCTTATGTGTATGGATTTTATATGCTATATAGTGCATATAATAGAAATATTTTAGAGTTTATGCAGGTAAAATTTAAAAAATGTATATTATTAATTAATTGGTTTAAAACTTTAAATTAACAAACTTGATATAAATTTAATAATATGGTAAAAAAGATTTTTTATACTTTTTAGTAGAATTTAGAGTTTTCAGATTTTCAATTTTCTTAGAAGTTATGAATTTGTTTTATTTTTTAGAATGAAGTTGAAGAAGTTACTGAAAAGTTATCAGGGATGGTTTTAAGACAATATTTATGTAATCCAAGAAGTGCCATAATTAATACTACTAGTATATTAAGACGAAAACGCCATGAATTCATCAATGCCATATCAGATGGATCTATATCCTTAAAAAGCATGCCTTCTATTCCACCAAATGTTACCAAACCAAAATCAACCACCATGTCTCAAAAGCATATAAATGCTACTGCTAAAGTGAGTATACAAATTCTGAAAATAAAGATTTAATAAATAAACAAAACAAAAAAATTTCTAGGATTTATTGAAGAAAGCAATTGGAGATTCAATTCAAATCGATCCAGATAATCCATGGATTGTAGATTCAAAAGGAAGACATCGTAACCTCACTGCCATATTAGATTGGCCTGAAAGTTGTTCAGATGAAGAAGAGGTTAGAAAATTAAAATTACCATAAGTTAGGGTTTTACATTACATTTGAATTTTTTTTTATTATTTAAACAAGGAAACTGAATTGGATCGAGCTCTAGCTGTGAGTGTGTTTGGCCAGTGTAAAATGGAGCACTGTAAAAAAGCAAGAGTGAGGAATCCTAGAACATCAAAGTTTCATGAATACTGTAGCTTAAGGTGCAAAAATACTCACAAAACGTTACTAGAAGAACGTAAGTTAAATAATTGTACTTACTACTTAGTTTAATGTAATAATAATTATTATTTTGAGTTGAACTAACTACCTACTAATTTATTTTTATAGGAAAAAAGGAAAAGCGCACCAGTATTGTTGGTACTTTTGCAATGGACCTTATTGTTGCACTTGAAATGTCTAGACTTCAAATGATAAAAGATGCTCAACTAAAGAAAAAGTACATTTTTATTTTATTTTTTTCAAATAAACATAATTAATTAAAAACTATAACTATTGTTATAAACACTAATATTTGTTTATAGGTCAGAGATTGAAGAAGCAAGTTGTAGCAAAAATTATTCAGGTGAATACTAATTTTAACCTATAGTTTTATTGAAAAAAACAATTTATCATTTGTATTTATATATTTTTTAAGAAGTTGTTGAAGATTCAAATGATGATGACCAGCAATTGCAAATGGCTTTACAGATGTCTTTAGACGAAATTGCAATGGCTAAATCCAGAAATGTTTCTAAGTCTACAGACAACAGTGAAACAATTTTACTTTCAAAAAATATTCCAGAGAATACTATTTTAAAAACAGATATTCCTGTTATCTTACCAAAGTAATATATTTGTTTCATAATTAAACTCAATTGGTGTGTACACAATTATATGTTTTATTGTTTTACATTTTTTTTTCAGATGTAGTGGTATTAAACTTGATGATGGTGTATTTAAAGTAGGAGATTTGCACAAAAACAGTTATTATTTGGATTTTAGTGAAGACATATACAGTCGTATGGAAAATAAAAATCTTAGAAGATCATTGTCTTTTGGTGATTTACTCTCACGTAGAGATTTGTACAAAAATAATCGAAGGTTTGTTTGTTGTGTGCAATTTATTTCCCAAAAAAGTTGTCTATAATTTGATTTCTTTGCTTAGATACTGTGTTAATGTGTATCATATGAACAGTGATGACAGACAAGATAAAATAGATAGAAAACGCGGAAAACTGAACCACGGTTTTCAAGTATTTCCTAGAAGAACTGCTTCTATTCTCATGGAAATTAACAACAATGGTGAATGCCGTGCAGTCACATCTTTAGATGACAGCAATATTGCCGCTCCTATAAGTTCGGACAAAAAAGTATATGTAACATGAATATTTTTGCTGAGCATCTTACTAATATTATTTATTTTCTGTAGCTGTGCAATATCTTAGCTCAACTGTATTGGCAAAACTCATCTAAACCCTCTAGCATTACATTGCCCAAACGTTTAAGTAAAATTGGAAAAACCGCTGCCCTAGACACATCAGATGAAACATTAGAGAAAGAATCTAAAACTCCTGAAGAACTATCTATCAAGCCTGAACTGAACATTAGAATCGAAAAGTTCAGCAGTCACTCTGAAGACAGTGCTGATAATGATATATCTGCCGATATAGAATCAGATACCGGTATCCCAAAGTCACCAACACTCTTCATATCTGGTGTATCTATAAATCGTACACCAGAAACAAAGTCACCAGTATCAGGCCGTCAACTGAGGTCAGCAAGCTTAACAGTACCAAAGTTTATGTTAAAGCCACTTTACAAAGGTACATCAGCAGACAATTTAACTTCATGCAAAGAATGCAACGTTGTCCATACAAATAAAGCGCATTCCTATCAAACTTTGTTTAATGAAGACAGGATGTGTGCTTCAGCTAATATGGCCGACAAAAGTAGATGTGTGTTTACATTTCCGAAATCAATGACTGACGGTGAGTTATTTTCAACATTACATATCGATAGAAACAAGTTAAGCTCAGACGATTTTCATGAAGCTTTATTCCTTAAAAGACGGAAGCACGAGCAACATTAAGTGCCATATTTATAATTTATGTAGGTACATTATAATAACTAATATTATGTTTACATACAAGTCTCTCTAAAGACTACTTTTTTTATTTGGTATATAATAAATCTACCAATAATCATTTGTAAATATTCCTCATGTATTTATTTAAATTAAGTTGATTTATTCTATTTTGCATTTTTACTAAGCAAAGGTTTTTCGACTTAATATCCATACAACTTTCTTATTATACAAGATACAACACTAAAAATTTTCTGAAGACTTAAATTTTCTAGTCTATGCAATACAAATAAAAATGTAGTTATTAAGAAGAAAATATGCCAAAAAATCTACTCTTTTTTTCATACCTAATAGTTATAAACAGTTCCTAAGTGGGTTGCAAAATATTTGGTATTTTATTTTAAATTTTAAACTTTTTTTAGATCATACTTTTCTTTTTATAAAATTATGTATAATATTGATCAAATGTAACATAATTCAATGCATAAAATACTTTTTTAGTTGGTCGTTTGCATATCAAAGATAGGTATTATATTGCTTATACTTTTATATACCTAAGAAAAATACTTGCAAATTTACAAAACATTTTTTTAAAAACATTCCATAATTCTTTTTAAAGAACAACTTTCGTTTAATCAAATTTGAATTTTAAATGTTCGACTTTTAATTATTTATTTATTTTTTAGTTTTTTATGTGTTAAATTAAGTTTTTTGCAACCCTTGTCCCTTATCTTAATGCCATTGTAATAAAGTCTGAAAACATTTATAATAAATATATAATATTACTTACATTTTTTTGAACAATTTTTGTAACTTTGCCACACAAATGTATTTAAAAAATATACTTTAAATTGTACTATTTCCCTATTGCAATATTGCCATATTATTTTTTGCTCCCTGATTATAATAATATTGTAAAATGTACTTATTCATGTTCAATCAAAATTCAAATTACTATAACAACTTTCTAATAAACCCTAGGAGTTAAAAAAAAATAATTTTATGCCCATGATTTAATCGTAGTGATTGTTTTTATAATACACCATATTATACTTTCAATAACTTTTTAGGAACATTTTATTTATTTTATTATTGACATGTTTGGGTGTTAAAATATTTAATCATATATGATTTAACTCTGCGTGTGAAAAGTATATTTTTAAATACATTTATGTTGTATGGGATTGTTCTGTAAAGATTTCTAAGTCTTTTAGTTATAGTTATTATTTATAAGATGTGATATACTATATAGGACATAGGTATACCTTTTACGTGTCATTGCCTAATAACTAAATAGGACTTTTTTTTGTAGTTAAGTTCAAAAAAAGAATCTAATCATTGTTTGTTATTTTGACAACATGATTGTGCCAAGAATTTCTAAATAATAAATCATGGTGCATAGAATATATTTCTTTGTAAGTTTTTTAATAAAATTATCGAAAAAATTTTTAACGATACAATACTACTACTCCAATCAATATTTCTATCAGTTTACTAAGTTGATCATTAGATAATCGGAGTCAATGTTTTGTATGTTTATAATAATAAAAAATAAATTAAGAACCTCTTATTAAATGTACAGCTAAATGTATTTTCATGACAACAGGAAAGACTTCAAGAATATATTCTATTGCTGTGGTTTTCAACCTTTTTGGGTACACCGCTCTTCCGATTTTTAAAATCATTTAAATGGCTCATACTAATAATGATAATAAGAAAATAAACAATTTACACTATTTACTGCAGACACAATGCCTCCCTTAATAATAATGGAAGTTGCGACGCACAGTTTGAAAACCCCTGAACTATTGTATAAACAAGAACAAAAAATGTACTTAATTATTTGTAAATATATTTTATATGAATTGAATCCTTTGATTTGGCCATACAAACAAAACAGGCCTACAAAGTTATGTATAGTTGTTCATAACGTTAATTTTATTTATATTGTCAGATTTTTTTTTTTAATTTCCTAAATTGTTTCTATGTAAGCATTGTAAGTGTGTACAAAGGTATTATTTTAAAAACAATAAAAACCAATTGGATTTTAAAATTAAAAGGTATTTATTTTTATTCCAAAATACATACTGATAAAATCAAACTATTGTCAGAACGTCAGGCAATTTTTCTAACAACAGTTAGAGGTTGCTCAAACAACAATAGTTTTGAACTGCTCTGATGGTACAATGTTGTGACAAATCCTCTGCACACATTATTCTTCGACATAGTACTATTGGTGTTGAAATCAGTTGTCAACTGAAAGATTTTTTACTAAAGATTAGAAGGCCATTAAAAAGAAGATGAACCTAATCTTTATATAGTGTCTTCCACGGTCTCGTTTATAGTGTTTATCGGTTTAACTCTGATAGTGTTGAAGGGATAGTAAGGTTGTTCAACAATTTCGGACTGTAATTTTTCTTTTTCATCGAGCACCTAAAAAAGAAAAAAAACAGTCATTGGTTAATATATCAAGCATACCTTCGTAACTCATATGCATTACGCCAAGACGATTATTTTGTGCTTAGTGTACATGATTTACCTCATCCAAGTCGATTGTTTGAACACTCATGGGGTTAATGTGCATAGTTTCTTCCTTGTGTTTGACATTGTGCATCATATACACATCTCTACGAATGGTCTTGAAATTGCACATGTTACAGCTATATACGATACCGTCGTCCATTCCTGTGTCGATATACCATAAAATATCTTATTAATTATTATTATAATAATCACTTGATGCCTAGATATAAATTTGCAAGTTATTCTAAATGTATACTCTTTTGAGTGACTGGGTGTAATGAGTCCAAATTGAATTTATAAGAGTGAAAAAAATAATAAACAACGCCAAATAATGATATAAACAATTTATACCTATATTATAATTATTTTTTAAAAACAAATGTGCAGCAGCCAAGGGGACCCAACAGAACTATACTCGATAATTATTAAGTCGTTCACTAATTTTCAGTCTTTTCAAAAATATTTGTCAGTTTTGGAATGGTTGGAAATTAATTATGCGTCAATAATATTTTATTCAAAGAGAGAAACTATTGTTTATGACTTATAATGTGTAAAACTATCTAGTAATTAAAATATTTTTTGTTATTGTTGTTGTCCAGTCTTACAGATGGGTATATACTGTTCACGAAAAAAACGTATTAGTATATGGAATGTGTGGGTAGAACCGTAGACGTGCCTACATAGTATTTAGGTATTCACCAATGTGGCCATCAAAAATTGCTTGGTAGATTTGTAGATAACCCGTACGAAGTAAGCCCCCGTTAAAAAAACCTAAAATATTTTTTTTTAAACTGTGTTCGAGCATATATTTTTTTTTTCTTCGGCTACTACTCCCGTTTTGGGGCCAGTCCGTCCCTGCGGCGGTAATGCCCCCCCCCCCACACGCACACGTGCTGACGACACGCCCGAATCATAAGCTATACATATATAATACACCTACAACACGTACCCGGGTGTTTGGACTTGAGGTGCTTCTTGTACGCCGAGGCCTGTATGCACGAGTAGTCGCACCACGGGCAAGTGTAGTTCTTCCGGCCGGTGTGCCGCATCTTGTGCTTGTGCAGGGTGTTGTGGTCGGCGGTCCGGAAGCTGCACTCGTCGCACGCGAACGGCTTCTCGCCGGTGTGCAACCGCTGGTGGAGTTTCAGCGAACTGGCCAAGGCGGTCGAGTACCCGCAGACGTCGCAAGTGTACGGCCGCACGCCGACGTGCACGTTGGCGATGTGTTGGTGCAACATGTGCTTGGTGGAGAAGCCCCGGCAACAGTGCTCGCACGTCAGTTCGGACTTTGGCGGCGGCTTCTTGGTTTTCTGGTGGATCGCCTGTGTGATATCGTATAATCGTTACATATAATATGAGAATCGCCGATCGTTATAACAATTTATCGTTGTTTAACATTCTTTCGGCTGTTGTGCGTCCATTGTCGTCGATGGCAAACCGAATTTTTCGATCACGAGGACGTGGGATCTCCGTTTTTTTTCCATAATGGCACTTTTAGGTTTTAACGACATTTTTCGAAAAATTAAATTATAATTAAATACCAATTCAAAGTCTTTTACAGGTGATCTCAATTGTTCCCTATGCCTTTGTTGGTGGTTGGCGCTGATTTCGTATTGTATTTACGAAATCGTATGATAAACTCGTAAAAAAAAACCAAACATATAGATCGACGGATATCACGGAGTTTTGTGCTATTTAAGAGCTAAAACGTTTGTTAGGTTTAAATAATATAACCAAAAGGGGAAAATATTTTTTAAAAATAATTATTTTAATCTATTTTTGACAATTTATTAAGTACGACTTAGGTACAAAAAAAAATAATATTATGAATTTAATTCATCGTTAATATATGTAGACAATAGTATATGTAGCATTAAACACGTCTGTTAAACTGTTCAAAATTATTTAAGGATTTTATTATTAACCCGAAATTTGGGAAGAATTTTCTTTTTCCCCGGGGCCAATTTTTATTCCCAATCCACCCTTGAATATAGGGGCTTTAAGATAACGTAACTTTTTATGAGTTGATATGTCGTTAATCTTAATTTTAATGTTAACACTGTTTAATAAAAATGTTGAGAGTATAAACTGGGTCTGATATATAAAAAAAAACAGGTTTTACTCAATACAAATGAACTAATTAATGGGTTAAAATTATTATCCGAAATACTTAAATACACCTCACCGCCGAAACTACTTCTGCATTATACCCACCAAAAATGTTTTGTTTCTTTCATTTCTGAATAGTACATTTTAAAAACTTAATTGGGTATCTATATTATTAAATTTGTTTAAGATTTTGAGCGGATCGACGAATGAATTGATTTTACAATAACGTGTTTTTTCTATTTTTTATTTTTTGTGTCTGTCATCACGTTTTAGAACGTAAAAGTGCTTCAATTTTTTCTTCAACAGCATCTTTTCTGGTAAGAAAGTGAATCTAATTGGTACTTTAGACTCCCTAAAGTAAATAATTTCCAATAGTTTTCAAAAGCGGCAGGAAAAACAAACAAAAAATGAAGGGAAAAACGGGAATTTTTAAGGAGACCCGGTTTTCAACAAAATCGATTTTGGTTTTTGATGTAACTCAGTGGCGTAGCTAGGGGGGAGGCTGAGGGGGCTGCAGCCCCCCTCCCACGAAATGTTAATACAATTTAAAAATTATTTTAATGGTCTATGGTATTCGATCAAAAACCAAACCACCGCTGTGCAAAAAATTGATACCCCCCCCCCCCGAAAAAAATCCTGGTTACGCCACTGAGGTAACTTTAAAAAAATATCGTAGATACATGAAATTTTCACTAAATGTTTATCATGTTATCTATACACCATCAAAATATTTTGACACGTTTTAAACTATTTATAGACATATGAAGTGTTTGATTGTTATTTGTTATTTTAAACTAATGTCGATAAAAAATTTTCGCTTAGTCAAAAAACTTGAAAATAGAATACAAGGTTCCTCATAAGTTGTAGTTAGTGGAAATTAAAAAAAAAAGTTGAGGTTAAATCCACAATATTTATTTATGAAAGTTTGAATTGACAACATTGACAAAATTCGTAAAAATCAAGAAAATGAGCAAATAATTTTATAGTTAGAATTTTTTTAATTTTCAACTTTTATAGCCAGGGGTCGAAAATTTAAAGTTCCGAGCAAGTAGGTTATTTTGTAACCAAATCTAAAAATATATTACACAGTTTTTTTTTTTTAGTGGTTTTTATATTCAAATGTGGACGAAATTACACATTAAATAACCAAGAATAATGATTTATTTTATTTTGTTGTAAATTAAAAATATTATTCATGGGTACTTGAAACTTTTAAAGTATATTATTACATTTTATACACTCACTGACTTTTCAAATGTATTTTTTGTGGCAAAAATGAATTTAATTTACTGTAATACTAAGTTAACACTAAGCTCACTAGTAAAATAAATTACCTTTATCACAATAATATCATCAAATATACTAAATTACTAAGTAATATCATAGACTGACAGATCGTATTTCATATACAATGATTAAATTCAAATTTAACACCATCCATTACATTGGCCCACTACCTACTGTACAGCAGAGCGACATCCACTAACCCTCTTTTTCTTACTTCAAAATAATATTCATATTATATGTATTTATAAAATAACTTATTTTTAAATATTAAGAAAAGTTTATTCTACGCGTTTAAGTAAATCGTGAATCTATACTTCGTAGTTTGGTATTTTTTTATCATTTTTTCTGTGACGTTTCAGATTAATTGGATCGTACCTACTAACTATTTATTTAATCGAAAAATGTAATAGCTGAATTGACCTTTTTATTACCTGCTATAATAATTGTCGGACCGAGTTTATATATTTGCTCAATCAAACATTTACTAAATTCTTATAAAATATTTAAAACCTTAAAAAAATATTTTATTAAATCACTTTAATTTAATACACATAATTATGAGCTTGATTATTAAAATGTATACAGATTTGACATCATACATACTTGTATAACAGATAATATTTTATGAATATTAAAATTTGAAACAATGTTGTAGTGCAAGTGTGTAACATAATACTCGTATGAGTATCAGAGTGTATTTGAAATTTTTACTTAGCGATTTTTATAGAAATGGCCTTTGTAATGAGAAAAAAATCCTTTTCAGATTTTATTCTAATTAAATAACAATTCCAATCGCAATTATAAAAATAATATTATTATAAGTACCTATTTAGAATCTAGTTATTTATGTTTTGAGTTCAGAATCGAGGAAAATTTTGGTAAGTACCTGATCGAATTGTATAATTATATTGTGACTTATAAAGTGTTATATAAGTTTATTTATAAGGCAATTTTACATAAAATATGTCTGACCCTTAAAATACCTTTGCAAAAGCGTTTTTATACAAGCAGGAAGAGATCACAGAGGTTAAAATTTACGACGTTTATCTTTATGTAATATACTGATTAATAATTTCCAATCTTTTTCAATTTTTTATAACCACACCATTTTAGTTGATAATAATAAATGGAGGAATATATGAATACTGACGAGTATGGGAACTGGGAATACATGTTTTGTTATAAATTTGGATATACTTTTACCTTGTGATTTCTGAGCTGTTTGATCGTTTTGAATCCTTTCTTACACTCCGGACACA